CCGGAGAAACCCCTCGTCCCTCTGGTCTGGGTCCAGCTCGGGAAGGAGCCTCATGATTGTCTCATGAAAATGCAGCAACAGCTGCAGTATGGTGGTGTGGGGCCATCGCCTGCCCAGGGGCAGCTCTGGCTCCATGCCACAAATAAGGGTCTGCAAGCAGAAAAACCTCAAAAGAAAAAAGCTGCTGGGGTGTCCCAGGAAGCTGAGCACTCCAAAGCAGCACTGCAATGCCTTGCAAAATTCCTCAAGGGACAGCAAAGGCAGCTGCAGGAGCAGAGCAACGGGTGTTCAGGAGTGTCCCTCTCACCACGCGTCTCTGCAAAGGGCAGGCAGGCAGCACCCGGAAGGAAATGCTGCCCCCATGCCCTGGCAGAAGCAGTTCCGGGTGGCTTTCAATTTCGAAAGAGCGTCCGGCAGTCTGGACGCTCTTTCAAAATAGCGGATCGATCTTTCGATCCGCGCATTGTAGTCTAGACGCGCTCTTTCGAAAGAGGCTCTTTCGAAAGATGCTTTCGAAAGAGGCTCTTTCGAAAGAAGCCTGCAGTCTAGACACAGCCTGAGACTGAAGAAATGTCACTTGTGGACCCTCTTAGCCTTTAGGAAGAAGGGAGAGTTTTCACAAACTGAGGTACCCCCTTGTCTGAATCATTAGAGTTATTCTGAAGCGGCAATTTGGTATGAGATTATTTAACACTAGCCTGGACTTCCGTAAATATTATGTAGAGGGGTTTATAGCTTTATCCATTGAAGTTCATAGTTATTACAATTTCAGCTTTCCGTTTTTAAATCCATTCCTGTGTCTGTAGTTCATTTTCCTGCATGTCCTAATCAAATCTAGTTGCCTCAGAAATGAAGGAAAACAAATGCAAATTGTGCAGTTATGGAATCTCCTCATCACTCCACTTTCCTGCTCCCATCTTCACAATAGAACAGGGAGACTACTGTACTCACTAGTGTGATTTAAAATGTTTGTACTTACAATGCCTTTAATTGTATCAGCCATTTTCTTAAGATTATATGAAGGTAATATCTGTTACTGGTTTCAATATATGCTTTTCTTTATTTTCTCATCTCTCATAATTTTCCATTTCTTTTTCTTTTTATTAATTTTTTTCTTGCTAGAGGTTTCCACACATCCTGTATTTTTCTACCCTTCCTGCTTTCTGACCCCTTACTTCTATCACCCACTTTTCCTGTCTGCTTTTCTTTTGATATTTTTCATTGCTTTTATCATTATTCCTATTTTTGTCCTACTTTCTTCCAGGTTTGCAACTTTTTCATTTAACATTCTCCCTGTCATTTTCTCTTCTAATTCATTATTTTGCCTCTCTCCGGTACCCCCTGTTTTTTTTCTGCCAGTATGTCATTCCCCCTTTCTGGTTTTTTTGCTCCTTTTGACAATCTATGCTTCTTTTTTAGTCTCCTTTCTCAGCTGTGCTTATCTACCTCCCTTCCTATCATCTCTTGCTTTCTCACATCTCTGCCATTCCTCATCTCTTGCTTCTTTCAAAGTGATTTGGTCTGGCACTGATCCTCTCAAGCTTCCTCAAGGGCTGTCTCAGCATTTCACAGAGTCCTGCCTACCAAAAGGTGGAGATTGCATGCTGCTCTTTACATTTTGATAAGACACGTGTGCTCTACTGGCTGCCCAAGCATATATTAAATAGTGTACATGCTACACACAGAATATTATTTAGCAGGATAAAAGATGCAGGAGCTGTAGTTTTGTTATATGCTCATTTTCTGTGGCCATGCTTATTTTAAACTGTATGCTGTTTTTTAAAACATTTTTATTTTTCACCTGTAAACATATTTACTGAAGAAAATGCTGGTAGACAGAATAACTGTTTAAGTGAAAGAGAAATAGTGCTTTTGTTAACTGTGAAGAGAGTAAGTGCTGCACAAGTAATCTTAGGAACTATTTATTTTGGAAATGCAGATTTTGCTCTTCTCTGTAATTAATGGAACCACTTTTTATTGGTGTAGGCCCTGATTCTTCAGCTCTTTCTTCCATGGATTTCAATAAGTCTACTTGTGAATATGCAACTGAGTAATTACTAGAGTTTCAGAATTGGGCCTCTCATAATTAACAATATGTTCCCTGAAGGTTCTGCAGTGGGACCACTTTCTCTTTCATAATTAATAAACTATCAGTTGAAGTAAATTGCAAGCTCCAACAAAATATTTTGGGTAAAAATTGATTGAACAGCTTCTAGAACTGAGAAATTATTTCATCTTAAATATAGTTGGCTTATCAAGAATCAAATAGCTGCCTTTGAAAATGATCAAATTTTCCATCTTAATCACTAAATTCAATTTCATTTAAATTATTTTTAGAATTTTATATTTGCATGTACAAAGGCTGGCAGGCATAAGTGGCATTATAAAATAAATAATATTTTCCCCTTGATAGTTCTAACACATTCAATTTTATTTCTCTTTCTGTTTTCTTTTAGCACTTTCTTATGCAAGAGAATAAATGGTAATTAAAATGAGCAGGATGAAAAGATGGAGCAGTCAGTGCTTGTACCACCAGGACCTGATAGCTTCCACTACTTCACTAGAGAGTCTCTTGCAGCTATTGAACAACGCATTGCTGCAGAAAAGGCAAAGAGTTCAAAACAAGATCGAAAAGATGATGATGAAAATGGCCCAAAACCAAATAGTGACTTGGAGGCAGGAAAGACGCTTCCATTTATTTATGGAGACATACCTCCAGGAATGGCGTCCGAGCCCTTGGAGGATCTGGACCCATATTACATCAATAAAAAAGTAAGTGTTTATTATCAAACATGTTTCATTGTCACTTTCATAAGGTAATGCTTGGATTTTGTTCATCGTGAACATAATCTGTAATTTGTTTAAAGTGTGGAGAAGTGGTCTATTATGTAACATATCATATAATATACCCACACCCATGCACACATGTGGCATGGCATTTCGCTGCTTAAGAAAGAGCGTGAAGGTAATTTTAGCTGAGCATCATAGAAAGGAACAGGACATATAATAAGTGGAGAAAGTATTCATAGTCAACAATTTACATGTATTTCCCTCTCCAAAAAGTTAGTAAATAGAAAAACACTTAACATCTGAATGCTAAAAAAGTTGTCACTATTTAATCCATGTATTTTGACCACTTTCATCACTGTGGTGTCAGAATGCTTGTGGTATTGTGGGCACCTTAATTTGCCTGATGAGCTTGGGACTGCGCATATGCACAATTCTATGATTTTGTAGAGAGTAATGTTGCTTTTACCATTAAAAAAGTTATGTATTTATATGAATGCAATATAATACCTGAATGTATTGTTTAGATATAAGTAACATATATAGCCTAAAATTAAATCAAATGAAAATCTAAGGATTGCATTGAAAAGAACTTGCTCCTATTGAAATCCATGGCAAAATCCTATTGGGTTCTCTAATGGAGGACTGAGCCCCTAGTAACGTGCACATCATTCTGTTACCCCTTTTCTTTATACTGAATCTAATGATAGCTGACACTTTTCAACTACAAGATATTGTGAGGATGCTAAGCATAATGAAATAAATAGAAATATTTCCTATTAATGTTTTAATGCTTAGACAAATTTATCTGAAATATTCTTAAAAGGAGCAGATTATAGAGATATTATAAATTGGGTGCAGAAGATGCTCGTTTTTCTCCAGGCAGTTATATAAAATTCTTACCTTGTTTGGTACTAGCCAGCTTGTGCGGTATTGCCTGAGTCCTTCAGGACAGGGGGCTGGCAGTGTGGGAAGTGCAGGACTCCGGATAGGGCATTGTGGATGTGGGAGAAGGAGAGTACAGGAGGCTGTGTGTATGTGTGTGTGTGTGTGTGTGTGTGTGTGTGTGTGTGTGCGCGCACAAACACAAGAGTGAGTGCTGGGGGGGGCGGGGAGTGAGGAGGGGTCCCATCCAGTATGGGCCTTTTTTCCCCCCTCTAGCCACTTGGGCTAATAGGGGTGTTTTTCTTCCCCCATCTACTCCATCCCACCAATTAGGAGGAGTTCTTGAACAAAAGGACTCACAGACATACACACAGACAGACGCACTCTAAAATATGTATATAGATTATGCACCTGTCTTGATAGAAAAGACCTAGCCATATATTTGCTTTTTGAACTATTTAAGAGAAATATGGTATAGCTCAAGAAACACACAAGTAAGCAAAAAATACCAGGGATCTAAAGACAGCAATTAGGACATTTCTGTTGGCGTTTGCATATATTGCTAGCCTAAAATATTCTAGAACCCTTGCAGGATTTCTCTGTGGGACTGCCTCAGGATGCAACATAGAGGCAGCTGAAAGCAGCCACCGCATTATCCCCAGCAATGTGAAGCTTTCTAAAAGACTTTAGCTACAGTATGAGTTGATGATTTGGGATGCTTCCAATTTATCACTGTAAATATTAGATACTGTGGTGATGGGGAGCCTATAAATACCAAGATACATAATTAAGAGTGATTTTGTACTTTTCACTGAGTGCAGCATCTGTGATTTAGCTTACTAGATTTTATATTACAATTCTATTTTGACTAGATGAAAGGAAAGTAGGAATATTGTGCAAGATCAGTGTTTTTAATTCATGCCAATCTTTGACATCACTCAAAGCCATTCTGTCCCATTCACACTGTATTATATTAAGAGGAGTTTTCTTTAAATTGCTGTCCTACTTTTACAACATTCTGTATTTTACCATTTTTAAAAGCGGGGTTCTTTAATTCATTTTTTCTTACCGATTTCCGTGTCAAATCTGCAAGTAAAGTGATATACCTGACTGCCCCACAATTCATTATAGGCTCTGGCAGTCAAGCAGCGTTCTATGTCATAATAGGGATTTTGTAGGACAGATTCAGTTTGCTGGTACACCTGTGCAATCCCATTGTCTTCATATTATGCCCTCTGAGACATTTGTTTCACAGATGCAGCGGAGGGGCTAACGTAGCCTGATGACTCTCTGTTACTGATGGGGATATGCAAGTAGAAAAAATCCAGCTTGACTGATACAGTCCAGTTTGTAGTGGGCAAAACTTGTCTTTTGCTTGCTGTGAGGGGGTCACTCACCACTGTAGCGGGGGTCCGTCATCTGTCCCCGGAATCAGTCCATTCCGCCCGCACAGGCCTCCGCTTACGTGGCGTTTCCCCTCTGGAATCTTCTAGCCGCGTTGCTCTCTTCGCCACACTGCCCTCCGGCAGTGCCCAAGTCACTCGCTCTGAGCCCCCCTTCCGGGGGTTTGGTGTCTCTCCAGCAGGCCTGTCCGCAGGCCTAGCAGGCTGGCCGGTTGGCTGTCCAAGCGTCCTGGCCCAGCCTGACTCTCTAGCCCTGCCCTAGCTCCAGAGAGCGTCCTGCTCCCTCG